TGAGACAAAGTAACTGTAAACAACAATTTTCTAATATTTACAAGCTGAAATTCAAGTGAGTTTTATTTTAATGATACAAAGAAGAAATAATACTGTTCTGAATTATCAAACACCTCTCCTGAAAAATTCTGAGTTTCAGCTAATATGGTTTTTGTTTTTAAATAAATGCTCAAACCTAAAAATTATCAGGAAACCATTGTTATATATCATTGCCAATCATCTAAAGCAAGATTTGTCAATTTATTGGTTCATTCAGAATTATTTATTAATACTTAATCAGTATTAAGTCAGTTGGTATTTCAGTTCAGTTCAGTTGCTCAGTCATGTTGGTATTTAGCACTCATTTAAATCTGTACTGAGAAGACTTACAAATGTCAAAGTGAGGAAGGCTCTTTAGATACCCAGAGTGTCAAAGAACCACCTATGATGATAGATAAAATATACGGAAAAAGAATAGTGAAAAATAAAGTAACAAAGTATCAAAAAAGAAAACTTCCTGATGAAGATAAGATAAGAAAGATCTGGAATTCAAGAGTCTTACCCTGAACATTCAAAGAAGTTATCTGAATCATCCTGAAGTTTCTATTCAATTGTAGTTGAATACTAAAATTAGAGATACTGCTTTCTACTGTCTATTCCTAGCTGCTGCTGCTGCTGCTGCTGCTGCTAAGTCACTTCAGTCGTGTCCGACTCTGTGTGACCCCATAGACGGCAGCCCACCAGGGCCCCCGTCCCTGGGATTCCCCAGGCAAGAACAGTGGAGTGGGTTGCCATTTCCTTCTCCAGTATTCCTAGCTATTTTAACTCAAAAAACTTCTTTACTCTCTTATTTTTACCAAATATTATCCTTTGAATTTTCACGTTGAAGTTTTATCTACATTTAAGGATTTTTAGCAATCCAAATGTGGATTTGCTTATCCATCCTAATACAGCACATCCACATCTGAACTGCTTAAATGGTACTTTTCTCACAGTATACCCCAACCGTCCCTTTATGAAGAGTTAAGTTTACTACAATCCACGGTCTCTTCCCTATGCAATTAACACACGAGTAGATGAACAATGTCCTGCTAAAGAGGAAGCAGGAAATCAAAGATGGAGCAGAGCATTACAAGGACGGTCCTTCCCAGAGTATTGAAGGATCCTCCCTGTAACTCTCTGCTCCATCTTTGGTTCCAGAACTAGACAGTGGTGAATATTCAAACAGTTCTTAATGGAAAGCCTAGAACCTTGCTTTCCACCAAAATCTAATTTGACCTATCTAACAAATGGTTTCTCTCTCCTGGGCAACATTATAGGTTCCAATTTACAGTGATTTTTTCCAAAAGATCTTACTTTTCATAGTTCACTTTTTCTGTTTTATTCATAAAGTTTTGCTAAATTTCACTTTTAAATCTATTTGACTTAGAAGATTCCAACATACAGTTTATTTCTATATTGGCTGATAATTGATGTTCTAAAAAGGCCTAACAGTTAGTTCAAGAAATACTAGTATAAATGTATAGGAGAACAAAGCACATCTAAATTTAAGAGAAAATGTACTTTGGATTTAGACATAAATAAGCAAGTATGATGAGAACACAATTACTCACTAGCTATCTTTCAGCTTTAAGTTACCTTTCTAATTTTAGAATTAGTGGCCATCTCCCTTCTGAAGTTTGCCACCTCAAGTAGCCCATCATAATTTCACCAAATGAGTAAAGCCAGGTCTGATTACAGACCTAATCTTACATATTCTTAGGAGTAGGTTGGTTTCTGTAATTAGGGGCAATATTAAGTTGGGGAATCTGTGATGAAATCAGTACTCAATAAAAGCACTAGTCATTCTACAAAAATTACTGTAAATTATTTACACCTAAAATATTATTTATTCATAAACCATACTTGTACACAGATTAACAAGCATTTACCAGTAAACTTACAAGTACTAGTCAAGATCAATTTAACTTCATTAAACTGAATCATATTTAAATTCTCTCATTTATTCTCAAACTTAAACTTGAGCTGTGGCAATAACTTAAGAGAACATCCTTTTAAATAGAGAACATTTTAGTAGTCTGAGGACCAAAAGAAAATAAATTAAGCACTTTAATGCTTACACAAAACAAATACTGAACTACCCAACAATGCATTTTACCCAGGTCCTCTGATGAATACAATTATACCTTTATTAATATACCAGTATTTGAAAAAGAATAGGTACATGTAAATGAATAACTGAGTCACTCTGCTGCACATCTGAAACTAACACATTGTTAATCAACTATACTCCAATATAAAAGTTAAAAAGTAATAAAAAGATAAAAGATATCATTAAGAAAATGAACAAAAACTAATAATCTAGCAGTACAGGGTCCTCATTATCCTCTACTAATGATTAATATAAATACAAAAAGAACACTTTTATAAGACTTAATAGGGTTTACAATTTCCATAAACAGTACAAAAAGGCCAGAAGATGAGGCCCCCGCACCCAGGCCAGAAGGTGTCCAGTATGCTACTGGGGAAGAGTAGAAGGTAATTACTAACAGATCCAGAATTACTAATAGCTCAAAGAATGAAGTGGCTGGGCCAAAGCGGAAACGACCCTCAGCTGTGGATGTGTCTGGTGGTTAAAATAAAGTTTGATGCTGTAAAGAACAATTTTGCATAGGAACCTGGAATGTTAGGTACATGAACCAAGATAGTGTAAAGTCAAGTGGGCCTTAGGAAGCATTACTACAAACAAAGCTAGTGGAGGTGACGGAATTCCAGCTGAGCTATTTCAAATCCTAAAAGATGATGCTACTAAAGTGCTGCATTCAATATGTCAACAAATTTGGAAAATTCAGCCGTGGCTGCAGGACTAGAAAAGGTCAGTTTTCACTCTACTTCTAAAGAAGGGTAGTGCCAAAGAAAGTTCAAACAACAGGACAGTTGTGCTCATTCTTCATGCTAGCAAGGTTATGCTCAAAATCCTTTAAACTAGTCTTCAGCAGTATGTGAACCAAGAACTTTCAGATGTACAAGCTGAGTTTAGAAAAGGCAGAGGAAACACATCAAATTGCTAACATTCATTCGTTGGATCACAGAGAAAGTAGGGAATTCCAGAAAAGCATCTAATCCTGCTTCATTGTCTATGTGAAAGACTTTGACTGTATGGATCACAACAAACTGTGGAAAATTCTTCAAGAGATGGGAATACCAGACCATCTTACCTGTCTCCTGAGAAACCTGAATGCGGGTCAAGAAGCAATAGTTAGAACCAGACATGGAACAACTGAATGACTCAAAACTGTGAAGCAGTACAACAGGCTGTATATTATCACCCTGCTTATTTAACTTATATGCAGAGTTTATCATGCAAAATGCTGGGATGGATGAATCACAAGCTGGAATCAAGGTTGCTGGGAGAAATATTAAAAAAAAAAAAAAAGGTTGCTGGGAGAAATATCAACAACCTCAGATATGCAGATGATACCACTCTAGTGGCAGAAAGTGAAGAGGAACTGAAGAGCCTTTTGAGGAGGGTGAAAGAGGAGAGTGAAAAAGCTGGCTTAAAACTCAATGTTCAGAAACTTATGATGATAGCATCTGGTCACATCACTTCATGACAAATACATGGGGAAAAAGTGGAAACAGTGACAGAAATAAACAGACTTTATTTTCTTGGGCTCCAAAATCACCGTTTGGCCACAAAATTAAAAGATACTTGCTCCTTGGAAGGAAAGCTATGACAAATCTAGACAGAGTATTAAAAAGCAGAGACATCACTTTGCTGACAAAGGCCTGTATAGTCAAAGCTATGGTATTTCCAGTAGTCATGTACAGATGTGAGAACTGGACCATAAAGAAGGCTGAGCACCAAAGAATTGAAGCATTTGAAATGTGGTGCTGGACAAGACTCTTGAGTCCCTTGGACTTCAAGAAGATCAAATCAATCCATCCTAAAGGAAATTAACCCCGAATATTCACTGGAAGGACTGATGCT